TACGGTAGTCCCTGAGTACTGCCAGGAGTAATTCCTGAGTGCAAAACCTGGAGGTAACCCCTGTGCATTGCCAGGTGTGACCCAAAAAAATAAAATAAAAAAAATTTTCTTCTATAAAACCAGACACTCAAAGCTTCATTACCTCAATATAGACACGTTGTAACAAGGGAGTGAGAAGGCTCTTGACCAACTGACTGTTGTGCTCAGTAGACACAGATCTCTCATCAGCCACACACCATATCCACTTGCCATAATGGTGGCAACTTTTGCAGCCAGCTGACCTCATCCACTGTATGCTGATTTTTTTCTGAGTTCAGTTTCCAAAGGCAAAGTCATCTTTTTATTTTATTTTTGGGCCACACCCTGGCAGTCTCAAGATTTACCCCTGGCTCTGTACTCAGGGATCACTCGTGGTGGTGCTCTGGGGACTATTACAGGATGTCAGGGATTGAACCCAGGTTGCCTAAATGCAAAGCAAAAGTAAGCACCTTACTGGTGCTCTGGGCCCCAAAGGTGACTTTTTTCTTCCCACTTTCCAACAGTCTGGTGCCCAGAGCTACCTAAGTAATGTCCGTGTCTGACTAGAATATTCTCTAGATTTTGCTATATTTTCACTACATTTTGCTGCGTCTAGCTCTTCTTTTGTAAAAAGCTCCACCAGGCTCTCAATAGGAAAGCCCTGTGGGGATGAAGCCGGTAGTGTGGGTCAGTGGGTCTGGGTGAAGGTTTGTGAGGCTTTGTTCTGGGATGAAAGCTGCCAGCTTCCTTTTCTGATTTTTCCCTGTTTAAGAAATGTGAAAACCCAATCTAAGGAGATCATTAATAGAAACCACAGCTGGCAGCCATTCCTGGCTCTGACTCACTGAGCACACTCCCAATGTCATCACCATGGTTTCAAGGTTGACGTTTTGCCCCCCTGCCTGCTCTTCAATTCATTCCTCACTCTGCTGCGCAGTCGGCTCCATAGTCAGTATCCACAGACTGGTGTCAAGTTAACCCTGTAGAGAAAAATAGCTTTTTGATTATTGGTTTTGCAAGTAGCATTAGATGCTTTTTTTTCTTAAATAAAAATGAGTGCCTGTCATCTCTGACTGGCAATGCTCACTGTGTTCTCTTAGATGACTCACTCTGTCAGGGTGCCCTGTTCTCTCCAGACAACATTTTAAGAAAATTGTCTAGCTGAAGAGATAAGTCCAGTGGGTAAGGAGCTTCTTTGCATGCTGCTAACCTGGATTTCATCCCCAGCACTCCATATGGTCCCTCAAGAGTCTGGAAGGAATAAGCCCTAGGCACAGCCAGCTATGACCACCCCCCCAATAGTGCCTGCCTATTGATATAAACAGAATATAGTACAAAAGAGTTATCCATAAACTCACATAGCAAGGACGCCTAGGATTTTATAATTATTTCCCTCCCCATTTTCTGTGATGAATACCGCACAGTGAAGATCATACATGTCTGACTAATTTAAAGTCTTTTGACTTGGAGACCCCTGCTGTATGTCCATCATCCCATCATTTTCTCCTATGAGTTACTGGTCTTTAAGCATTGCTTTGGGGAAATTCAGCCACTTAGCCAGGCTTAGTTTATTAGTGCTGTTGTTCTTACCTGCTGGAATACACTGGGATCTCGCGATAGTCCAGGCACTTAGCCATACATCTATGCTGACACTTCACTGGGGTCTGAACTCTACTTTAACTCCATTCTGAGACTTAAGAACCCTAAGTAAAGACGCCTCCTGGGATTCTTGGCTGTGGCTGGTTCCACAAACATGAAAATGCTTCAAATTTAATCCTTGGTGCCATCCACACACTCTAAGTTCCAGCCGAGAAAATGTCAGGTTGGGGATTCTCAGTACTGTGATGATCTCAGGCAGTAGGTGTGTTGGAGCACTGCAACTAACGTGTACAAACCCGTTGACATTCTAAAAGATAGTCACTGTTTTATGTGCTTTACAAATATGAAACTAGTTTTCTGATTGTTTTTGTTTGGGTGCCACACCAGCAGTACTCTTGGCTCTGTGCTCAGGGATCTCTTCTAGCAGTACCTGGGTGCCAGAGATGAAACTCGGTCACCTGTGTGCAAGGTAAGCTCCTACTATTTAATGCTCTTAACAACCTATAACTCGCACGGCACAGTCTGGCAAACTTCCCGTGTCGTACTCAATATGCCAAATACCAGTAACAATGATGGGTCTCATTTTCCTAATCCTGAAAGAGGATTGAAATGGCTCTTTTAAAATCTCAGGGCTAGGAAGAAGGAGACGTTACTGGTGCCTGCTCAAGGAAATCGACGAACAACAGGATGATCGTGATCGTGAACAACCTATAAAAAATGGGACTGGAGTGACAATACAGGGGGTAGGGTGTTAGTCTTGCACAAGGCTGATCTGGGTTCAATCTCCAGCATCCCATATGGTCCTTGAGCCCTAGCAGGAGTGATTTCTGAATGCAGAGCCAGGTGTAGGCTCCAAGCACCTCCAAGTGTTGCCCCAAAACCAAACCAAACAAACAAAAAAGACACTATTAACATCAGCTTCATTTTACAGAAGAGTAAATTGATTCCAAGTAGTGCTCTCAGCTCTGTTTATTACAAGACATGCACAAGGAAGATGATGCAGGACAGCATATTTAGCTAGCTCTCTGAAAACAGGCTGGAGAAAGTTGATTTTTATTGTTGTCTGGGTATTTTTTGGCGGGGAGGACAACACCTGGAAGTGCTCAGGGCTTACTCCTGGCTCTGCATTCAGAGATCACTAGTGGAGATGCTCAGGGATTCATATAGGACGCCTGGGACTGAACCCAGATCATCTGTGAGCAAGGCTAATACCTTACCTGTAGTGCAATTCCCCCTCCCCCACCCAACCTGCAGTTGGGGAAAGTTTTAAAGAGATAGACATAGGAAAGGAGTGATGTCTAAGAAGTGTCAGGGCCAGGAGACACAGAAATTGGACCACAGGTGCAGTGAATAGAATATGCTTCTATATGCATTTTGTGTCTCATATGCAGGCTAAGTCTCCATCCCTAACAGTAATTTCAGTATTAAAATGAGGGGAGGTTTATTTATTTATTTATGGATTTTTGGGTCATACCCGGTGATGCTCAGGGGTTACTCCTAGCTCTGCACTCAGAAATTACTCCTGGCGGTGCTCAGGGGACCATATGGGATGCTGTGTATCAAACCCGGGTCATCCTCGTGCAAGGCAAATGTTCTACCCGCTGCACTATTGCCCCAGCCCTTATTACACTTTAAAATTGAGATTACATTAGTTCACACGATCATATGTTTTAAATGTTTTAGGGACACAAGTTAATGCCTTTTCAAAGCACATAAAGGAAGAGACTGGAGATATAGCTTAGCAAGCTGAGTATATGTTCTCATGCAGGAGGCCCAGATTTAATCCCTGAGCCCTGCCGGGAATGACTCCTAAGCACAATAGCCATGAATAGCCCCTGATAACCACTAAATATGGTCCAAAAAACAAAACCAAAATCAAGATTTAAAAAAAAGTAGATAGACTAATAGGTGGATAGATAGCTAAAAGGGATTGAACATATTTTTTAATCAGGGAGACTCAGGTTTAATCCTCAGAACCACATAAAGTTGCTTATTTGCCCTTGAACACTGTTCAGCTTCCAAACAAAAACAAATAACAACAGAAACGTATACGCTACTAACCACAACCAACGTCCTCCACTGAAGTCCACTGGACCCTTTTCCCCTTCTATGTTCTCCTCTTCTCCCCTTCTGATAAGCACAGCTCTGTAGTCATGGTATGCAGGTTTGTTTTCATTTGGCCTTTATAGTTCCCTTGCTTTTGCTTCTGTATCACATCATGCGAATGGGGTGAGCTGAATAGATCTTTTTCTCCTGGTTCAAATTGAGCTTACAATAAATCCTCCATTTCTAACCAAGTTGTCATAAATGGTCTGATTTCATTTTTACTTACGATTAATGTTCTACACTGTGTAAAATGCCACATTTAATCTAGTCATATGTCTACAGACACTGGGGTTCTTTTCATAACGTGGCTATTGTAAATTGTGCAGTAAAGAAATACAGGAGAACCAAGAGCAACCACCACCCGCCTTGCTGGAATCAAATTCAGGACCACACAACGCATGCCAAGCATGTGCTCTTTTATTGAGTCTCATCCCGTCTGATGGGTATCTTCAGGAATTAGGGTTTCTGTATTCCTTGGATACACATTTATATACACGCTGTTGTTTTTGACATTAAAAAAACTCTTTTATATATTTTTTATTGAAACACTTTGATACAGTTACAAAGTTGTTCATGATTGGGTTTCATAGTCATAGTCATACCCGTCCCTTCACCAGTGTACATTTCTCACCACCAGCGTCCCCAGTTTCCCTCCTGCCAAGCCCCCTTTATTTTAAATAGTGTCACTGAGTTATTATTTAAGGATTTCCCTACTGAGGGCCGTTTATATAGTTTCCAATTTTTCCGTAAGAGACAGGGAGGTGATAGTCTTTGAAACAGAAAACAACCAAAAAAAATAAAAATAAAAACAGCTACCTTTGGAGTCCAATTAATTAGAACTGCAAGAAAAAAATGGCCAGTGTCTAAGAAGAGCAGGGACACGCAGGAAGCCACTGCAGCAATTCCGGGGGTGCCTTTGTCTTGCGGCTGCACATGATTGGCCAGAGAGGGAGACCCGAACCGCAGAGCCCCCACCCTCGCCTGGCCCCACTACGCACGCGTGGGGAAGAAGGTTCGGGAAGTAGAGGTGGGGTAGCTTAATGAAAAAAAAAAGTCCGTGAAGGAAGTAATCAAAAACGCGGAGGCGTGGTTTCCTGTCTCAGTACAACCTTTAGCCTCTCCCCTCTACCTGGCCCAAGTATCTTATTGATCAGACGTCTTCAACCCCATTGGTCGGAAAGCTGAAGGACCGTGTCTGTCCCAAGATATGCCTGCTTCCGAAGCCTCAGTATAAATAGGCAATTGCGACGCTACTTTCAGGCAGTTGTGTAGGCCATACCCATGGGGCCTGAGGGGGCCTTCTAAGGCTACCAAGCAGTTGAGAATTTACCGGCAAGTTTCGGGGATGCCTCCCAAAGGAAAAAGCGGTTCCGGAAAAGCAGGGAAAGGTAGGGCGCCAGCAAGGATGGGATCCGGGAGGAAGACTGAGGGAATGGGGAGGACCCGCAACCCCCGGAGCCTTGGGACAAGGGCAGCGGGTAGACAAGAGGATTCACCAGGAAATGATGTCGAAGCCAGGGTGGACTTCAAGCGTTCAAGTTGTATGGTAGCTTGAAGGGGACAAATAATCCAGAGAAATTTATTTTGTTTCTCCTATTCAGGCCAACGCTAAGGATCCGGTAGGGACTGGGAATTAAACGTAGCATTGCACTGTCCTCCCGTTGTTCATCGATTTGCTCGAGCAGGCCCAGTAAGGAACGTCTCCATTGCGATACTTGTTCTTACTGTTGTTTGGCATATCAAATACGTCTCGGGTAGCTTGCCAGGCTTTGCCATGCGGGCAAGACACTCTCGGTAGCTGGCCGGGCTCTCCGAGCAAGGCAGAGGAATGGAACAGGGTTGGCCGGGTCGGCCCCGTGCAAGGCAAATGCCCTAGCCGCTGTGAGATTCAGGAAAGAAGTTGAGCGGCTGACCTTTGAATAAAAGACACCTTGTGTTTGAGGTAACAGAATAAGAGACGAAGATGGGTGAAGGAAGAGAATGATAAAACTAAAATGGATTGCTTTCAAGGCGAAGAGTTTAAGATTGAGGGCTGTGAATATGTGGAGAGTAGATATTGTATCATTTATTTAGTACTGTTCAGTGGGCACAATGTCGAATTGTAAAGAGCTAGGGGTAAACCTTGATCCACCGCATAAGTTTTGTTGGGATAGTAACAGGAGGGAATTAAAGGTGCCTGTGAGAACACAGTTAAGATGATCCATGTTGGAGCCAATGAGAAAGGTGGTCCAGGTGAAATGGTATGATAAAGGGGCATATTTGTGACATCAAGGGGCCTATATTGTGGGAATGAAGCATGAAAAAGCTGGAAGAACAGGAAGTTTTGGCCAGAGTCAGAACTACTAGTGCCAACCTGTGTCCCTGGGAGCAGGTGATGTGGAGGAGGTGTGAGTTTAGAGATTAATAATAGTGTATACATAGACTAACAGTATGGTGATACCCAAGATGATAGCAGGAGTGATGGTGGAAGAGAAGCTTGAAGCCATTGACATATTTCATAGTCCTAGGGACTGAGGAGGCAGTCAGAAGATGAGAGCACCCAGCAGGGGAAATGATAGAATAATTGTTCAATCGTGAATATAACTGTTAGGGATTAAATGTAATAAAATTCTTAGGGACGTAACCCTTTCATGTGCATTTGCTGGTCAGTGTTGAGTTTTCAAACAAGTGAACATGAATAGGACACCTATTGTGTGTCAGGCATTGGAGATACCAAAATGAGTAAGATTGAGTCTCTTGCTTAAGTCTTTTCAGTAACTTATGATGATTTCTAAGATAAATTCCAAGTTCCCCCTTAGACCCTAACCTTCAGCCACTTTTCTCAGCCCTGCCACATCAGAATTGGCTTGGTCAATAATTTCCTACACATAGGCTGCCCTCCCCCACCGTGGAATATCATATGCTTGTCTTTTCTTCACCTGATGAGCTCCTATTCATCAGACAAACTTTTCTTGACATGTTCATCTAATGGGAGAAAGAGATAGCTCAATGTGTTGGCATATATGCTATACAAGCATAAGGCCAGATTCAATACCTAGCACTGAATGGTCCGCAGAATACTTGCAGGAGCAATTTCTGAGCACCATGAGGTGTAGCACCACAGCCCCCTGTCCAAAGCCATCTCTTTGTGCCCTGTGTATTCTGAAATGATGAGTTTATATAACATGAAATATCCATCTTCCCCAGCAGAACATGACTTCCCTAAAGGAAGGTGCTATGACTTATTTATATTTTCAGTGCATGGAACTTAGTAGTTGCTAAGGAATTGTTTACTGAACTGAACCCTTAATCCAGCAATAGTTCATAGGAACTCAGTCTCTAAAGTAACTATGCTGGCCATCACTTATAGCAGTTGGAATAGTAATAAAATGTAAGATGCTACCAATAATTGCTAATCTGAATACTAACAGCTTGTAGACATCAGTAAGTAATGTTGAGACCAGATCAATAGTACAGCAGGTTAGTGTTCTTACCTTGCATGCGGCCAACCCATGTTCTATCTCCAGCATCCCATTTGGTCCCCTGAGCACTTCCAGGAGTGATCCCTAAGTGCAGAGCCTGAGTAAACCCTAAGTATTGCTGGGTGTGGCCCAAAACCAATGAAAAAGCAACGTAGAGTCTAGGAATTTGGACATGAATGGTTTTGGTTTTTAATTTTGAGTCACACTGGTGATACTTGGGTGCTACTTCCCACCCTGTGTTTGAGGCCTGTTCCCATCAGTTTGGGGGCCCATGTGGTGCTGGAGATTGAAACTGGGTATCCTGCATGCAAAGCATGTGCTCAGCCTGTTGAGCTATCTCTTGGCCCTGGACATAAATCTGCCTGGCAAAGTTACTTTTAATGCTTGATGTTATGATGGACATTATCAGTTCTTGTTGTATTGAGACCTTTGTGTAAATATCAAAGTGCAACTTAAGTATCTGTCATCTCTTTCTTAAAGGAGGAGGAGCCTGTGGGAGTGACAGTGCTGACAAGAAGGCTCAGGGTCCCAAAGGTGGTGGAAATGCAGTAAAGGTGAGCTTCAGGTTCCTTAATTTTGTTTTAAATATAAATAAGGTGTGTGTTGTTTTATGACATATATAAATAATTGGCCTATGTGTCTCATTTTGTGAAGCTAGCCTAACACTGATGTAAAGTTAACAAAAATTGGAACAGGATCCATAGTACAGAGGTTGAGGTGTTTCTCTTGTATTCATTCCCTGTGACTCAATCACACGATATGGTCCTGAGCAACACTGAAAGCAACACCTAAGCACAGAGTCAGGAATAGCCCCAGAGAACCTCCATGTGTAATCCAACCCCCCCAAAAGCAAAACAAAAAAAAACTAAATTGGTAAATGTATACCAGTGTCTTCATACTTCCAGTATTCTTAAATTGTATGATGATGAAGGGTGTTTGTTTGGATCATATGCACAAAACCTAATCATCAATAGCATTGTAAATCATTGTGACTAAAATAAAATTTTTAAAATTTAAGTTAAAAAAATGCAAGCTCCCTGTTCCATGGCTCCCCCACCCTGTTACTGTGTTTCACAAACTTTATCATCTTATATATTTATATTGCAAATTTCCTAAATCCTAACTAATTATACCAATGTACTAAAAATAAAAAAGTTGATCTTCCCAGAAAGTGAATGAGAAACTTCTCAAGACCAAATAATATGGACTGGAGCTATAGCACAGCGGGTAGGGTGTATATTTATAAATTCATTCCTCTGGCATTTCCTACAATCTAGCAGTTTAAGGGAAAACAAGTCCTCAAGGGGCTGCAGTGATAGTACAGTGGGTAGGGCATTTGCCTTGCTCAAAGCTGACCTGGGTTCGATCTCTGGCATCCCATATGGTCCCCCAAGCACTGCCAGGAGTAATTCCTGAGTGCAGAGTAAGGAGTAAACACTGAGCATTGCTGGGTGTGACCCAAAAAGCACAAAAAAAAACCCCAAAAAATAGTTCCTCAAGAATAGTTGGCAGACATCTTCCAGAGGCCATTGGACAGTCAGGTTTGTGCCTGCAGTGATGAGACACACAGGGCCTCACAGGATGGGGATGGAGCTGGGACTTTCCTCCCCATCCCAATGAGATCCCAAGTCACCACCCACAAATGGCCTCTCTGGCTCCTGATCAAGCTTCTTAATGGCTATGATCCCAGAGACTCAGAAACAAATCTCGAAACCCAGCGGCTTTTAGCAGAAATACGTCTGGAACCCACAGTAGGTCACTGTTGCCGGGCCACACCAGAGGGGAAAGGGTACTGTCCCCCCGCCTGCTCCCCCTTGGTGGCTCGGTGGCTGCCATCCTCCAGAGGCCATTGGACAATCAGGTTTGAGCCCTCAGTAATGAGACACGTGGGGCCTCATGGGATGGGAGTGGAGCTGGCCCTTTCCTTCCCACCCCAACGAGATCCCGAGTCGTCGCCCACAAATGGCTTCTCTGGCTCCTGATCAAGATGCTTAACGGCCATGATCCCAGAGACTCAGAAACAAATCTCGAAATGTAACAGCTTTTGGCAGAAATGTGTCCAGACCCTACAGTAGGTTACTGTCATTGGGCCATTCCAGGGGAGAAAGGGCACTGTCCCTCCACCTGCTCCCCCTAGGCGGCTTGGTGGCCGCCATCCTCCAGAGGCCATTGGGCAGTCAGGTTTGGGCCCTCAGTGACAAGACCCGTGGACCCTCGTCGGATGGGGATGGAGCCATCCCTTTCCTCCCCATCCCAATGAGATCCCAAGTCGCCACCCACTAACAGCCTTTCCTGTTCCTGATCAAGCTGCTTAATGGCCATGACCCCAGACTCAGAAACAAATCTCAGAACCCAGCAGGTTTTGGCAGAAATCCCTCCAGATTTAAGTGTTAAAATTTCAGAATTTCAAAATCAGGTGGCCACTACTGCAGCCACACGACATCGTATGTTATTCATAACCAGCAATAGAAACAAATTGTCTACTCTTGCCTTTTCAGCAGATCTGAGTGTTGGGGTAAAATCCCTAGTTTAATGGTGGGGTCTGGTGTCAAAATATTGAATGTAATCAAAGTAGAAAGAGTAATGTGGAAATCATCTGCTCCACAGGTAGGGGGAGGGCGTGGGATGGGGGTATACTGGGGTTTTGGGGGGTGGAGAATGAGCACTGGTGAAGGTACGGGTTTTTCATTGTATGACCGAGACTTAAATCCAAAAGCTTTGTAACTGCTCTTATGGTGATTCAATAAATAAAATTATAAAAAATGAAAAAAAAGTAAGGTAGAGTTCATGCCCAATTCAATCAGCTAATCAGTGGCTGAATAAATAGCAGTACTCCTACATTAAAAAAAATTATAGTGGGCAGAGTAGCATAAAGTCACTTTAAAATGAAATATCCCTAGATACATAAATATACTTTGAATGTTAATTTATTCATCACTGAATCCAACAATTTTCATAAAAGGCAGAATGTAAGAGAAGACTTGGTTGTGTTCTGTATTACAATTGTTCCATGATAAACTTTTGCCATCAACAGAATTGTTTTGGCTAACTAAACCTGGCAGTGCTCAGGGTTTACTGGTGACTGGAATTGAACCTGGGTTGGCCACATGTAAAGGGATGAAACTTTTTAATTTTGGGCTACACCCAGTGGTGCTCAGGGCTTACTCAGGGATCATTCCTGGAGTTGGGGAGGGGAACACCAGAGATTAAACCTAGACTGGCTGCATGCAAGGCAAGCACCTAAGGATACAATTCTTTTAATTTTTTTTAGTTCTTGGGCCATACTCAGCAATTCTCAGCGGTCACTCCTTGCTCTGTGCTTCTGAATCACTCCTGATAGTGCTTGGGGGACCATATGGGATGCCAGGGATTGAACTCAGGTCAGTCACGTGGAAGGCACACACTACTAACACTCAGGCCCCAAGGATATAATTCTTAAACATTCTTTTTTGTAAACAGGTCAAATGTACATCTGCAGAGTTCAACATTCTTGATGTTCAGCTTATTTTTGGTGCTTTGTGGGTCACACCTGGTAGTGCTCAGGATTTAATCCTGGCTCTGCACTCGGGGATCACTCTTGGCGGGTTGAGGGGACCATATGTGGTACTGGATATCAAACCCAGGTCAGCTTTGTGCTATACTGTCATTTCAGCCCCCAGCATACTCTTTTTAGGTGCTGAAGTGGGAAGGCTTTATACATGGGGCCTCTTAAAAATTTACTTGTGGGTTTTTTCATGTTCCTAGTCTGATACGTTTTAGTAAATGCTAGCTGGTTTCTCTCAATATTCACAACACCTCTGAAAACACATACATTTTATAATTATCTTTGTGCACAAGTAGGGTTTATTGTTTTTATTATTATTAATCACTGAGATACTTAGTTAACATTGTTCATGATTAGGTTTCCGTCATAAAATGTCCAAACACACGTCTCTTCATTAGTATACATTTCCCATAGCCAATGTCCCCAGCCTAACTCTGTGGCAAATACTTTACTCTCTCACTCTCCCCCCCCCCGCCGCCCCCCACACACACACTTCTTTCCTTTTGGGCATTATTATTTGTGATACAGATATTGAAAGATTATCATGTATATCCCTTTAACTCCTTTCAGCAATCATTTCTTATCTAGAGTGACCATTTCCAACTATCATTGTCTAGTGGTCATAAATGGGGTGGTTTGCCTAAGGTAGAAATAGTGTTACGTTTGTGATTACTAATTCATCACAAATTCAGAGATTGTAAAAGTTATGCAGGAAGAATATGTTAAGACAGAAGGACAAAAACGGACTTTTATGAATAGTCTTGTACTTTAGTAACAGAAAGGGCAAATTACCCCAAAATAAACAGAATGCGCCTTCTTTTCAAGCGCATCTGTACACTGGCATACATTATGATCTGATCAGTACACCTCAGTTATTTCCAGAAAATAATATTGGAATTATAAACCAGAGCTTGAGTGATATAAAATCACTATAAAATGTAAGGCTTGTAGTGTAATTGCACTCTTGGGAATTTTTACCTTAGGAAAAAAAAATAAAGACTACTGAATAAGTGCTTCACAGAAAAATAGGGGCTCACAGATAGCACATGTGCTGAGGAAACACTTTGCATGCAGGAAGCAAGTTCTCAACTATTACTGTTTTCCTCTTCATTTACCACTGAGGCTCATGTTAAGATGAGAACTTCAGGGGCTGGAGTGATAGCACAGTGGATAGGGTGTTTGCCTTGCATGCAGCCGACCTGGTTCGATTCCCACCATTCCCTGAGTACCGCCAGGAATAGTTCCTGAGTGGAGAGCCAGGAGGAACCCCTGTGCATCACCAGGTGTGACCCAAAAAGAAAAAAAAAAGATGAGAACTTCCCACAGCTAGATGGTCTCAATAATAGATTTGTGAGCAGACTACCAGGATTTCCCATTGTTTTGAATTTAGGTTTTTCACTCACTAATGGGGAGTAATTCAGATATTCCTGCTATACCGAGGAAAGAAATCCACTGAATATCCGAATAATCTGTACTTTTTTAAAAAATGTACTCTTTTCCCATTATAGGTCAGACACATTCTATGTGAAAAACATGGAAGAATCATGGAAGCCATGGAAAAGTTGAAGTCCGGAATGCGATTCAATGAAGTGGCTACACAATATAGTGAAGATAAAGCCAGACAAGGGGTATGGTGCTTTTTTTTTATGTAGGAGTACTGCTTTTTACTCAGTCACTGATTAGCTGATTGAATTGGACATGAACTCCACCTTACATTTTTTTTCATAATTTATTTTTTCTTCTTATATTTATTGAATCACTGTGGGAAAAGTTACTAAGCTTTCAGGTTTAAGTCTCAGTCATACGATGATCAAACACCTCTCCCTTCACCAGTACTTATTTTTCACCACCAAGAACCCCAATATATCGCCCTCCCACCCCTCCCAGTGCCTGTGAGGCAGATGATTTCCACTTCACTCTTCTCTACATTGATTACATTCATTATTTTGACAAAAGATGCACCATTATTGTTTAGAATTTCCCCTCCAACAATCAGAATTGCTGAAAAGGCATTGTGAAATACTGTTTTCTCTAGCTGGTTATGAGATTCATATAATGATTTTGGATTTCTGCAAAGAGCCACATAATTTACGACATTGGTTTCTGTGCGTCTGGTGTTATGGCTGTGTCGGAAAGCCACTCGTGGAGGGCAACTCAGTAGGGCATGAAGGATGAGCTGGTACCGCCCCCCTTCCCATGAGACTGCATTTGCCCCGTCACCGACGGCCACCTTGCTGCTGGGGGGGCGGGGGGAAAGGTGGAAGGGAGCAACACTCTTTCCCTCCCTTGGAGGCATGGCGCCATAGTTTAACACATGGTCCATTCACTTTTCTGCTGCAAGCTGCTGGACTGCAGTTGCCCTGTCACCACTGGCTCATACCTGGCTTTCCAATAAGCTCTGAGGCAGCAGCCACCTTGTCCAGATGCATTTCTGCCAAAAGCCGCTGGGTTTCAAGATTTGTTTCTGAGTCTCTGGGATCATGGCCATTAATCACCCAGAGAGGCCATCTGTAGGTCTCGTTGGGGTGGGAAGAAAAGGGCCGGTTCCACCCCCATCTGGTGAGGCCCCAAGTCTCGTCACTGCAGGCCGAAAACTGACTGTCCAGTGGCCTCTGGAGGATGGGGTCACCGGGCCGCCAGAGTGAACCTATTCCCACCTGGAGTTGCCCAGCGCCAGTAACCTACTGCAGGAACAGGACACATTTCTGCCTTTGGATTCCAAGATTCATTTCTGAGTCTCTGGGATCATGGCCGTTAGGCAGTTCGATCAGGAAACAGAGAGGCCATGCTTCCAATTGTATAGCTGAGCCAGAGGTGGTTTGTGGGTGTGACTCCCACATACCTAACTTTTGGCCGTTTACTTCTTGGTGAACTTTGCCCCAAGTTTTTGGGGTCTGGCCAAAGGCACAGCAGCAATTTTGGGGTATCTGAAAGTCTGACAGTGCCATTAGGCTGCTGATGCACTTGCCTCACAGGTACAGACTGACCTGCTGGCGTCACCATACCCCTGGTGCTCTTATTCTTTTAAATGGTCTATCCTTGGGGCTAAAGAGATAGTATAGTGAATTTGGTACTTACTTTCGATTCAGCATAACTGGGTTCTATCTCCAGCATTCAGGAAGCAAAGTTCTCAAGTTTTACTGGTTTTCCTCTTCGTGCTCCCATTGAGCTTCATGTTAAGATGAGATAGGGTCCACAGACCACACGTGACCACACGTGATCTGTAGCCCAAAAAACAAAGCTATGTCCTCCATGGACAATACACAGCAGTAGAAATAGGTTGTTCTTTGTCTTGCCATTAACTTTAGCTATATCTTAGAGAGCTTCAAAGCAGAAATGATTTGCTTCTGATGAATGCCAGTCACCTATGTATCCTAACCATGACCAAACCTGAACAGATAACTGACTCCTAGGAACATTGTCTTTATGTATCAAGTCCAATCTCGTTGTCCTGTTCAACTTTTTCAAACCCACCTTTCCTCCCCATGACACACACACTTTATTTAAACACTGTGGTTTACAAAGGTGTTCATGATTTGTTACAGGCATTCCATATCCCATTACCAGTTATGCCACCACTGTCAACCATTGTCACCATTTTTTCAACTACCCCTCAAGCCTGTCCCTGTAGCAAGCCCACAATAATTTTTTATATTGCTTGTTATCAATAAATTGCTAACAAAACGATCAAAAAACATTTCCTATGAATAAAATTAGTGAAAATTGTTGTGTCTCACCATGGGGCTATTAAGTCCTTGAATGCGAGATTACTAAAATGTTAAGCCTTCTGTGTTAATGTTTTTGTTGGTTGAGATGGATTGGCTTCTACATTTCTTTGTTAAACTTTTTAAAACCTTTAGCACTGTAGCACTGACCTCCCGTCATTCATTGATTTGCTCGAACGGGCCCAGTAACATCTCCATTGTGAGACTTGTTACTGTGTTTGGCGTTATCGAATGCGCCACGGGGAGCTTGCCAGGCTCTGCCGTGCGAGCAAGATACTCTTAGTAGCTTGCCGGGCTCTGCGAGAGGGGCAGAGGAATCGAACCTGGCTCAGCCAGGCCGGCTGCACACAAGGTAAATGCCCTACCGCTGTACTTAGCTGTTAGGAAATTCCAAGATGCATTAAAACTGATGGTCTTCTGAGCGTCAGTTGATCACATTTCTCTTTTTATTTTTCAGGGAGACTTGGGTTGGATGACCAGAGGGTCCATGGTGGGACCATTTCAAGAAGCAGCATTTGCCTTGCCTGTGAGTGGGCTGGATAAGCCCGTGTTTACAGACCCTCCAGTTAAGACAAAATTTGGTTACCATATTATTATGGTTGAAGGGAGAAAATAAAGTTGTGTGAAAAGTTTAACATGTTTCATAAATTTCCTGTAAAGTATGTTACAGAATCTTTGTATTTTATGAATTTATCATTGTCGGTATATAGGTACAAAGTCAGGTGGGTCAAGGTCAGTGCACATTACATTTAGGTAGTTAGTAGTTCTTAATGATAAAGCAGGCAATTCCTAAACTGGTCTTTCCTCCCAGAACTACTTGATCTTAGTATCTGATCTCAGATTCTCAGTACAGATTCTCAGTATAGCCCATGAATTAATTTAGAAACCAGGTCTAGGGGAGCTAAATATCAGCTCATATTATTCTCACATTAAACTGAACATAAAATAATTTGTATCTAGTACTCATAAAAATAAGTTCCTGGATAACACTAGTTATGCAGGTTATCCAGTTTTGATCTTTCCAGAACAGGTAGTCTAAGCCAGGGCTTCTTAAACTTTTTCTACTTGTGACCTCTTTTTCATTGAGAAAAGCATGGCTGAGCACTGCCTGATACACCTCAGATACATTACACAGTTGCTCTTGGATAGATTTTTGGTCACTGCTCATTCAGAAACCTTTACTTTTGCCAATTTTTTTCATGACAACCACACACATTGTTATATGACCCTATATCAATTTAAGAATTTACAGTATAAATCAGTTTTATGTACCCTGCACATAATTCCTATTCAACATTAACACCATTCTTTTTCCTTAATTGTACTTTTGCTAACATGATCTTAACATTTATGGTTTTGATGTGCTCATTATTATGCCTTCCAAAATACCTAAGTGCCCAAGAGCCTTTACCATCTTTTTTAACACTTGCAGTAACACCATGTCCACCACCAGAGTGTCGCAATCTCTCCACATTATCCCAAGTTCCCTTCCTTTGAGCACCCTCAGACCACAATTGTTCCTACAATACTTTTGCTTTGTATTTATCTTTTTCTTTGAGTCATTTAGCAGACTTCCTCTGATTCCATCCAAGTTTCAGGAAACTACAAGATTGCACCTTTACTCATACCTGAGTCATACTCCTTGGTGTATTTATACACCACAATATCTCTTTTTTTTTTTTTTTTTTTTTGGTTTGGGGGCCATACCTGCAATGTTCTGGGATTACTCCTGTCTCTGCATTCAGGAATCACTCTTACAAGTGTACACAGGAGTATTCATGGATGCTGGAGATTGAATCCTGGTCAGCTGCATTCAAGGCAAGTACCCTAGTATTGCTTTGGCCTCAATATCAATTCTTTTTAAATAAATGTTTACCACAGGAAAAGAAGCATAGTTATTTCACCAGTTCTAACCCATTCACCAAGTGCTGGTTACAGGGAGAGATATCAGCACAAAGCCATTTTCTTTTTTCTCAAATGTGTGGATTATCATCCCTTCCAGGGCCATCATTATGTATTTTTATTTATAATGCCACATTTATGGCACACAAAATTATGAATAAAATTATAAATACTGGAACCAGGGAGATAGCTTAAAGGACTAGAATGTGTGTTTGGCATGTTGGAACCTCAGGTTCAATGCCTAGTACTGAAAACTGTAAATACTATACTGCTTCAAAAATAAAACATTACTAATACAACTACAATCCTGAGGGTAGTCCCTTCCTGGCTATTTCTCAGCCATTCAGCAGATGGTTCAATGTTAGGCCCCAACAATGTAGTTCTGCTTGGATCCTCTAGTGACAGGGGTTGCTGGGTGGTCCTCCAGGGCTCTTAGCACATGCTTGGGAGCCCATGTGCTACTGGGAACCAACGTGGAGACAGCCACATACAAGGTATATACTTTAATCCTTGTATTAGCCAACAATTAAAACACATTCAAAACACTCTTAAGGACCATACATTCTGAAAATCTTCAAAATTTCTGAAATGCTTCTGGATGTAAGCTAAATAATCTTTTGCTCTGGAACATTGGCTTATACCCAGGATACTTGGGCATACATGCAATGTCACCTCCAAAAAGGAGGTCTGAGTGCCAGAAAGGTGAACCAGAAAAGGCCAACTTCAGTTCTCTGGCATGGGAAGGAGACCAGTTACAGCTAGTTGTGGAGAAGTGGAGCAGAAATGCAACTATGACATAAAAATTTAAAAGGTTGCTTTTTGACTGGCAGTTTAGTCTGAAACTGATTATTGAAAATACCATTTATGGGGCTGGAGATATAGTACAGCGGGTAGGGCGTTTGCCTTGCACGAAGCTGGCCTGGGTTCTATTTCCAGCATCCCATATAGTCCCCTGAGCACCACCAGGACTAATTCCTGAGTGCAAAGCCAGGAGTAACCCCTGTGCATCACCAGGTATGACCCCAAAAAAATTATATTTGGCTTATGAGAATAAAGAGACATAAAAAGAAAAACCTGATTTTTTCCCCAGATTTAGACACATAACGTGAACTTAGTTTTACTTTCAAACTATCCTTTTCGTGAAGTTTTATGCTTAAGTGAACCTCATAATAATATAACTGCAAATTAAAAAAAGGAGATTCCATTTTTTTAACCTACCGGCAACAATAAAAAGGTTTAACATATTGTTGTGAAGGTATAGGACAGAAATTCCAACATATTGTTAACATACTGTTTAACATATTGTTGTGAACCACGTATAGGACCTCTATAGCAAATAGATGTCACTTGTATAAAAGATGAAGAGAGGGGCTTAAAAGATTGTGCATCTCCAGGCACAGCCCTGGAGGGCCTAGAGCACCTCTGAGGTGTCCTCAGCACCAGAGGGTCCTCAAATTTAACCTCTGGTCCACTGGACAGAAAAGTATCAAGGCATTCTCTAGGCCTTCTGATTACCACTTGGGAGCATATCCCCCACAAATGAAAGATTAGTCATTAGTGCTACTTGAAAATAAACTGAGGGGCTGGAGCGATAGTACAGCGGGTAGGGCGTTTGCCTTGCACACAGCCGATCCGATTGGATCCCCAGCATCCCATATGGTCCCCCAAGCAACGCCAGAAGTAATTTCTGAGTGCAGAGCCAGGAGTAACCCCTGAGCATTGCTGGGTATGACCCAAAAACCAAAAAAAATAAATAAACTGAAAGTCCAATAATGGTAAGTTATGGTACATCCACAATATGAAAATGTGCTAAAATAAAACACCACAATGCAGAACAGTACATGTAACTAAATATATGCCACAAAACTGCTGTATTGACTATCAGAGCATCAATGCATTTATGGAGGATGGGTGGTTTAGACTTTATACCTCACACCACATTTATACCATGTTAAGATCAGGGGTCTTAGTGCATTTTAGATTGACAAACTCATGCTTATACTAAGGAGTTTCTATATGAATTTACCCATAACAACTCAAGGAAATGAATGTACAAAAGACTATTTAAAGGAACAAAGTTTAATGTTGTTATCTGAACTGTGATACACAAAAGTGGCCCCTTTTAGAATAAAATTAACATTAGCCAGGAGCATTTTATGAAAAGCTTTCCAAATACAAGAGACAAGCCTAAAGAAAAAGAAATACAAGAATATTCAAATTAACCTAGTACTTTGAATACCAGAATGGAAAAAGGATAGAGGTTAAAGGTAGAATTTACCATAAAAAAGAATTTACCATAAATGTTACCAACAAAAACTTGCTCCCAAGATTCCTGCATATGGAGATTCCCTCCTATAACCTAAGCACTTCCCTGCCTTCTTTCCCCTCCTCTTAAATTTTTTCTAAATTAGGTAAGAAAAAGAAATTTGTTTTTCTGAAATGTCTCCCCTTAAGCCTGCACGTCCCATAACCCCAAATTTATGGGACCACACTAAGTAAGTCAAAACTGGAGTTTTGCTCCCAAATACAATAAGCAGGCTATACTATCAACTTTTATTCAGTTGCTTATATAAACTTAGAGTCAAAAGCATGACTTCAGGATCTGCGCTTTTTATGTCAAGAGCTTTAACTAAACAGTTTAAGGCCTCTTGTATTTTTCCACATTCTTTCAGTTCTTTTCCACGCTTTACAAGACTCTCATAGTCATCCGCTGTCTCCACTGCCTTCTCCTGGGGAGCATCACTGGACTGTACACCACACAAAGGCTCAGGGTCACCACAAGGTGGCTCTTGAGCTGGAGCATCAGGCTTAGGTGCAGTTAAGCAGCTGGCCTTAGTTTCTGAAGGCAGACTTTCTCTGGTAGGGGTTTCTGTCTCTTCTGGGGTTTGCCCTGTGTTTTCCTCTTCTTCCTCCAGATAATCTTCAACAGCTTCTCCTTCACTGTTGTCAAGACTTTCCTCCATGTCCTCCACATAGTCTAAAACCACATTAATAAGTGACCGCCTAGAAGCAAAGGAACTTCTTGACTTATTTATACTATCAGATATTTTAGGTGAAAAGAATCTCCCAGATGAGCTTTCAGTTTTGGGAGTTGAAGCGTCAAACTGTTTTGCAGATGAGAATTCAAAGGGGGATGTACTGAACAGATTTGTACTCACAGTCTCTTTAGAAGTATCTCCTTCATCTTCACTGTCTGACGTGATCCTTCTGGTTTTTCTTTTGGATTTCACATTCACTACTACTTCTGCCTCATCATCACTATTCAAATGGAGAGGTTCTGTGCTCTGTACTGACTCTGCTCTAGAACCAGCAGCAGAGCCACACAAGCTATTTTCTTTCTTAACATGCAGCAAAGAACGACTGGAAAAATCTTGTCTATTGTCTGCAGAGTCTTCCAAGAAAAGATTGAAATCACATGCATATTGCAGTGAAAATGCTGAAGTTTTCTCCATTAACTTGGCCTCATTTGCTTGAACATCCTGCAGATCACCCTGCAAGGAACTGTGGGGTGCTGAAAAGTCATGCGATTTTGTAGTAACAGATGCATTCAATTCTTCATTTTGATTTATATTTGTTGAAGAATTCATAGGCCAGGGACTGCAGTGATGTAGAATCTCATCATCTTTCAGCTGATCTAGATTTGTCTCCAGATCACCTCTGACTGATACTCTAAGTAAATCACTTCTCAGAGGCTTCACTCCCAGCGCTTCCTGTGTAGCCACCTCTACTCCTA